CTGTCTGGTCTGTAAGGCTGACCAGTGAGGCTGTTTTACTCTGTGATCTTCAGGCAAGCTTTACTTATGAAAATACAAATGAAATATCCCTACACCTGACTTCCTTTGATGATGAACTGTATTGTAGAAGCATAGGTTGAATAAAACCTTTCCTCTCCAATTTGCTTTTGGTGGTGCTTTTGCTGTTTCATCACAGTGCTAGAAATTCTACGTAAGTCATGTGTACACTTTTATAAATAAATAAATGTTCATTAAAATAACAAAAGTAATCATCAGTTCTAATGCTGCCTGAGAACTAGGGTTATGAAGTATTTGATAAAACTGAAATTTCCAGTATAACAAACAAATATATTATCATCGTTATATCATCATTATTATTTTGAGATAGGGTTTCTCTATGTAGTGTTGTGCCCCTGTCATGAGTCCCCCAAAACAAGACCACCACAGAGCCAGTATCCGATGCAACCACACAGGGGTTTATTGGTTACAAGCTCGAGCTTGGAGCTTCCTCCAGCACTCCTGAGCAGTGGGTGGAGGTGAACAGCCCTGAGCCTTTGGGCTAAGGGGTTTTAAAAGGGAAAAATTGTAAGCAGGGTGTTGCATGCCTTGGGGTTTCTGGATTGGGTAAGGGTACGCGTTGGGTGGGGTCTAGGGGAACTTTTTATCAAGGTTAACAGAAAAACCACAAGGACATCTGGAGCAACGTAAAAACCCCAGATGTTGTTTGCCAAAATTTCTCCTTGGCTGGCCCGCTGGAGTGGGGTCGCCCTTACTGGGCTCTGGCAGTTTGTGGTCTTTCTTGGAACTGTTTGTGGTTTCTCCTAGAACTTGGTTCAGCTCCTCGTCACGTCCCAAAATGGAGTCATTTCTCAAAATGGAGTTAGTTCTGCTCCTTCTGTAGTCAGGCTACAGTGAAAGCAAAATTCAATGGAAAGTCAAGGAAAAAGATATGTAAAATACTGACCAGGGTGTAGAGGCTTTTGTTTGTCCACAAATGTTGCCATTTATTGATAAGAACAACTGAAATCCCTGTGCAGAAGGTGGAAGCACTTTACTGAGTCAAGGTTTGGGAAAAAGCATCCTATTGTGTTGCAAGGAGGCTGCTCGTTCATCCCAGCCACCCAGCTAGTTTAGCCCCGAAATAATCACACAGAAACTGTATCAATTAAATCACTGCTTGGCCCATTAGCTCTAACTTCTTATTGGCTAATTCTTTTTTGTTGTTGTTGTTCTTAAAATAATTTTTTATTTTTTATTTTTTTTATTAAAATATAAAAGTTTCCATTTTCGCCCCTCCTCCCAACACCCTCCCACTCCCCCCACTCCCTCTCCTCTTCCCTCTCCATCCCTAAGAGCAGTCAGGGTTTCCTGCCCTGTGGGAAGTTCAAGTTCCTCCCCCCCCTTCCAGGACCAGGAAGGTGAGTATCCAATCAGACTGGATCCCAAAAATCCAGTATATGCAGAGGAAACAAGTCCCAGAGTCATTGTCAATGGCTTTTCAGAAAGACTTCGGGCCAGCCACATTCAGAGAATCTGGTTGGATCAAGCGCTCCTTCAGTCCCAGTCCAACTGGCCTTGGTGAACTCTCATTAGGTCAGTCCCCTTGTATCAGTGGGTGATCGCTCCCCTTGTGGGTCTGAGTTTCTTTTTCATATTCTTCCTCCTTCTGTTCCTCCTTTGGACCTTGGGGGGCTCAGTCCGGTGCTGGCTAATTCTTATATATTAGTTTAACCCATTTCTATTAATCTATGTATCACCACGAGGTCGTGGCCTACCAGCATAGTCTCAGCACTTCTATCGCTGGCAGTGGGTCCATGGCTTCTCTCTGACTCTGCCCTTCTTTCTCCCAGCATTCAGTTCTGTCTTCTCCACCTACCTAAGTTCTGCCCTATCAACAGGCCCAAAGCAGTTTCTTTATTAACCAATGAAAGCAACACAAAGACAGAAGGACCTCCTATATCACTATTGTTTTATTATCCCAGATCTCTAAACAAAAAAAATTTAAACTATCTCTGGCATATATCTACTTTTTTTGAGACAGGGTTTCTCTGTGTGGCCTTGGTTGTCCTGGATCTCCCTCTATAGACCAGGCTGACCTTAAACTCACAGAGATTTGCCTGCCTCTGCCTCCAAAGTGCTAAGAGTAAAGGTGTGCACCATCACCGCCTGGTGTGGGAAGTCCTTCTGTCTGTGTGTTGTTTTTATTGGTTAATGAATAAAGCTGTTTTGGCCAGTGGTTTAGCAGAATAGGGCAAGGTGGGAGTTCCAAGCAGATAGAGGATAGAGAGAGCAGGCAGAATCAGAGAGAAGCCATGTAGCTACCACCGGAGACACCTCTGCTGGAGCCCATGAAATTTTGCTGATAGGCCCCGACATTGTGATGATGTACAGATTAATGGAGATGGGTCAGTTTAGGATATAAGAGCAAGCTAGAAATATGCTTAAGGTATTGACTAGACAGCATTGCAAATAATATAGTTTTTGTGTGATTATTTCAGGAGTCTGGGTGGCCGGAAAACAAATAAGCAGTCTTACCCAACAACCGCCTAGCTAATGTTTTGAGACAAGGTCTCACTATTTTACTCAGGCTGGATTTGAACTCTCAGTGCAGAGTAGGTTGATTTTGATCTCATAGAGATTCACCTGGCTGTCTGTGCTTACCAAGTGCTGAGATTAAAGGTGTGTGCCACCACACTCAGCAATATTCGTCTTTTGTTCCCTGAATCAATGGTTAAATATGACCCTTTAAGATCTTGAACTCTCTACATTCCCAATGTACTGGTGCATTCGGAGAGTCTTGGGGTGGGGTTTTTATAATAACAGAGGGAGTTTTAAGGTTCAAGTCCCCTGACTGACAGACTAACATTTGTCGAGGGGTGCCCTGGCAAAAAGGGCATGGGTATGAGACATCAATTCATTCTATTTACAATATTTGGAAAGTTAGGAATTTCCTTTGGATGATATGTTCCTGAGTGGAGCAAGGGTGGTCTCAGTTTGTGGTCTTTCTTGGAACCAGGTATTGCCTTAGGGTACACTGAGGCTCAGGCCTACCTTCCTGTTGGTCTATAGAGCCTGTCTTGGCAGGCCTGTACCAAGCTGCCCTGGGTCCTACAATTTAACTAGAAGAACCTTGAGGTTAAAGTGTTTGAACATTGGGTATTGACGCATTAAGCTCACTGAAAATAGCCTTGTGTATACCTTGGGGACATCCCCTTCATCAATTCCTAGGTACAATCCTTCACAACAAAGCCAGCATTTAAATTATTTAGGAACATCAGAGTGAAAAAATGTCATGAAGAGAGTTTACAAAGTCAGAGTCAATCACTGGAGATGTAAAACCTGACATAAAATGCCCACGGACGTATCTAGAGAGTTTATGCACACCAAGAAGAATGGAGTCCATTGTTTTCTGGAGTCTGTATTTTAAGATGTGAAGAGGAGGTTAAAAGTAGTCTCAAAAGAGAAACTTATACAGCTTTTCCTACAATTCCTACTATGGAAACTACCAAGTCCTACTAAAGTTATTGTTTGATTTTCTCTAACCAAGGAATACTGTTTTAGGGTCATTATTGCTGTGAAGAGACACCATGACCATGGCAACTCTTATAAAGAAAACATTTAATTGGGGTGGTTTACTTAAAGTTTCAGAGATCAGCCCGTCATCACCACAACAGGGAACATGGCGACATTCAGTTAGACATGGTGCTGGAGCTGAGAGTGCTACATCTTGCAGGCAACAGGAAGTCAACTGACTGTCACACAAAGGGAAACCTGAACAAGAGACCTCAAAGCCTGCTCCCACAGTGACATACTCTTTCCAGTAAGGCCACACCTCCTAATAGTGCCCTTCTGTTTGGGGGTCATTTTCTTCCAAACCACCATAAATGCAAATACATTTGCCCTATGAAAGTAAGTTCCTGTTTGTCTGTTTTCTTGCCTGCATGAACATTCCTGGAACATTTGGAACACTGTCGATGTGTGGAAATTTGTCTCAACCTAAAATGTTTCCCCCAAAACTCTGCCTGAGGATGTTCAACATTAGGGCAGTGCAAGTGTTGGTAGTGCTGGTGTGGAAGGAACAAGACTTCAGAGATTAGCTGGAAAAGTAGCAGGGTGTAGTCTGTAGTAGTCTGTGCCATATGTGTTCTGAGAAGATAATGACAGTATAGATCACTGAAGTGACTAAGGTGGTGAAAGTCATCTTGTCTGACTCAATTTTTTGTCTGCCTTGACACTTCTCAGCCTTCCACCTGCTAATACCCACGTTTGCCTTGGCAATGCGTCTGGGACTATTCGTGACATTAATGATCTAGATGTATTAACTAAAACAATTAATGCTTGTGGAAGCCAAAACATGAAACTAAAGTAACCAGAGGTACTATAAGTCAAAAATAATAGTGACATTGTGCCTGGAAAATACTGCTAATCTCTGAAAAAAGATAGATGTTAACACGGCTTATGTACTCCAAATGCCCATTCAACTCAGGCACTTTGAAATGAAGTTTTTTGTTATGGTGTCAGAACCAAATGAGAACACACCAAGGAGTTGCAATGCAAATTTATTAAGGCTGGTCTGACTTACAATCTTACGGGAGTTGGAGATGCGGACCTTTAGGAAGCAAGCACAATACAAAACGGGAAAGTGGCAGTTAGCTATTTTAAGCAAGCCTGGGAAGCGTTCAGGTTTGTGGTTGGTGGTTAGTCAGTTCCCTGGGAATGGTTCAGAACAATGGAAACAATTTTTAAGGTATGTGAATCATGAAATTACAGAAGTGAAAACAAGTTATAAATTACAGGGAACAAAATGAAGCTGGTCAAGCCCATACCGCTAAGGTTAGTAGCTCATATAATGGGTCTGACGAGTTAAAACACTGCATTCCTAGGTGTGAGTTCACCCTGAGTTCTCAGATATGGAGTCTGTTAAAAGAGGAAGTTGGGGCTGTAGCTCTGAGATAAAAACTTACTTAATATTCACAAGGTCCTGGTTTTAATCCCCACAGGAAAAAAAAAAGAAAAAAGAAAAGAAGGAAGGAAAAAGAAAACAAAAATCATAGTCACAGATAGAGAACACTCCAGGTTCTTACTACAGCAAAAGAAGTTATTCAAGTAGCAAATCAGGTAAATATTTGGAATAATTTCAAAGCTTATAATACCTAGTACAACAGGAATTTGGACTGAATGTTACTCAGTCCAAAAAAAAAAGGGTGTAGTGGAAATATATATTTCCTGTGCATATATATATATATATTTACATATATATGTAAATAATTTCCTGTGCATTGATAACATTGTATATAAATAATGACAGCACCAAGAACATCAGCTGTCTATTCTATGGCAAACCACCGATTGATAGCTAGATTAGGGCAATGGCTTGCTTCTTCTTCAGTAAACATTCACTTTCCTTTGCCTTCTACTGTGGGCAGGTAATGCTTAGGCCTGGCCCTAGTGCATGCTTTGGCCGGTGAGATACCGAGGATGGATATGAATGTGAATGTGAGCTTAAGTGGCTTGACTTACCTCCTGCCTTTGTTTGCTTTTGTAGTCAGATTACTGAGTAACACAACATGACCCCCAAGCATGGATCCTTCAGCCTGAGTCTTACAACAGCTGGACTGGAACTTCAGAGCCTAGATTGCTAAACCCCAGTCTGAAACATAAATATAAGTTGGCTTGCAAACCTCTCAGAAAGAAAGAAAAGGCTTGGATGTGTGAGAAGTTGAATGAAGAGGGTCTCTATACGTTTATATGTTAGAATACTTGGTTCCCAGTTGATGGGGCTCATTGGCAAGAATTAGCAAATGTGGTCTTATTAGAAGAGGTGTGTCACTGGGGATGGGTTTTGTGGTTTAAAAGACACCATTCCCAGTATGCTCTATCTGCCTCCTGTTTGTGGATCAAGGGAACCCTCAGCTGCTGATCCAGCTGCCTGACACCATGCCTTCACTCTGCCATTATAGACTCAAACTGTTTAGAACCATATGCTCAAATTAAATTCTTTCTCTTGTAAGTTATTGGTCACGGTGTTTTGTTAAAGTAACAGAAAAGTAACTAAGACAGTATGTTACCCAGTTTTGGTGTCTTTAAAAACAGACAATGCTAGCTAGCCAAGGACAGTGGCACGGGCCTGTGGTCTTGGGAGGTCGGGCTAGAGAATCAGGAGCTCAAGGTAATCTTCAACTACTGGTGAGTTTAAGGCCAGCATGGGCTATGTGAGACCTTGTCTCAAAATTTAAATAACAGAATTTGTTTTAAAATAGGGCCTTGCTGTACTATCCAGGCTGGGCTACAGTTTCAAGGATGAAGTAATTCTTCCACTTTGGACCCCAAAGTCAGTGAGACTGGTAGAAAGGCCTGGAGAGTTTTGTTTTTGAGAAATAGTCTCATTGGACAGCCATAGCTGGCCTGAAACTCAATATGTATACCAGGTTGGCCTTAAACACACAGAGATCTGCCTGCTTCTGTAGGAAATGTGTGCATGATGATGCACAGTTTGTTTTGGTTTTTAGACAGGTTTTCTATCACTCTGGAGATCAGGAAGTCCTCAAACTCACAGCAATTCTCCCATCGCAGCCCTGTGAGTGCTTAGATTAAAGGTGTGAGCCATTATGCCCACTTGGTATCTTTTTCTGTAGCACTGTATGACAGTAGTTGTTGTGGAGTTGGGAATGAGACCTTTTGTTGTTGGTTTCTTGAGATGGGGTTTCACTGTACAGCTGTAGCTGGGCTAGGACTCCTGACGATCCTTCTGCCTCTACCTCCTGGGTACTGGGCTTACAGGTGAGTATCATCACATCCAGCTATAAAAGAATACTTTTCATTCAACATTGTTTTTAAGGTCTTGTATTTTGAACCATACAATTTTTTTTTGTTTATTTATTTTGAGGCATGGTCTTACTTTAGCTACCTGAAATTTACTATGTAGACTAGGTTGGCTCAAACTCAGAGATTCACCTGCCTCTGCCTCCTGAGTATTGGATTAAAGGTGTACTTCACTATGCCTGGCCTATTTATTAACTTTTAAAGTACCCTGTCAAGTACATAGTATATTAAAATGACTCAGGAATAGTTAAACTCTCGGATTGCTAAATGGTTTCTTCCTTCCTTCCTTCCTTCTGTCCTTCCTTCCATTCTTCCTTTCTTCATTTATTTATTTAGTTTTCTGAGACAGGGTTTCTCAGTGTAGCTTTTTATTTTTGGCTGTCCTGAAACTCAATCTGTAGACCAGGCTGGCCTCGAACTTGCAGCCATCTGCCTGTCTCCCAAGCTAACGGTGCACAACAGCTGTTGATCTCCCAGAGGTACCAACAGCCCTACCTTTAAAATGATTAACTGACAAACCTGTTTGGGTTGGGCAGTGGCCTATGACATCAGAGAAATTATAGGCCTTAGAACAGCTGATTTAGGAGCAGCTAAATGCTCAATATAAAGAAAAATCAACCAGCCCTTGGAATTCTCCTGTATTTTTGTATTTGTTATTAAAAAGAAATCTGGAAAATGGAGAATGCAGACAGATGAGAGAGCCATAAATAACGTAATTCTGCCAGGGGACTCTCTACAGCCTGGAATTCCTTTGCCTTCTCTGTTACCTAAAGGATGGCCTCTCATAGTTATTCATTTAAACGATTGTTTCCGCACTATACCTTTACAAGAAAAGGACAGTGAAGGTTTACTTTCATGGTGCCTTCTTATAACAACTCTCAGCTTATTAAGAGACATCAACGCAAGTTCCTCCCACAGAGGATATTAAACAGCCATACCCTGTGCCAATATTTTGTGCAATAACCATTGGAAATAATTTGTTTACAGTTTCCACAATCTATAATATACCATTGTATGGATGATATTTTATTAGTTGATTCAAAACTGGGTACTTTAGAAAAAAATGTTTAAAGAAATAAAATTTTGCCTTGTTGGGGATTACAAATTCCTCCTAAAAATATAAAGAGAAAATTCTATTAATTACTTAGGTATAAAATAGGTCTACAAAAAATTTGACCCCAAAGTGTATAACTCAGGAGAGATCAACTGCAGACTCTTGATGACTTTCAAAGATTTCTAGGAGATATTTCCAATCTTCAGCCCACTATTAGGATAAAAACTAATGAACTGCATACTTTGTTCCATACTTTAGAAGGTGACAAGGGTTTAAATAGTCCCAAGAAATTATCAGCAGAAACCGAGAGAAAATTGGCTTTGGTGAAAGAAAAATTACAGAATGCACGTGTGGATTGTGTGGATCCGAAGCTTAAGTACAGTCTGGTTATGTCACCCTCCAGTCACCCTACAGGGATTCTAGTGCATAGGGAAGATATTATCTTGGAATGGATACTTTTTACCTTGCAAACAGAGTAAGAAATTAAAGAGGTATGTGAAAATTTTTTCTGATTTGATTCTAAAAGGAAGATTAAGACTTTATCAGGTGAGAGAAATTGACCCAACAGTATTACCTTTTACTAAAGAGGAAGTTTCCTCTTTATGGGCAGAAAATGAAAGCTGAAAAAGAGCTTACAGTAATTTTTTGGGAGAGATCAATAACAGTTATCCCCAAAGCAACCATTTGAGTCCTTCCCCACATAGTAAGGAAAACACCAACATCTGGAACCTCTACATTCTATACTGATACAAAGGCAGGTTACAAATCAGAAAACTTAAGCAAAGTGGTTCAAAGCCCTTATAATTCTGTATAATTCTATACAAAATTCAAAATTGTATGCCAAGATTCTCACGATACTAATGGACTTTACAGAGCCTCTCAACATATTACCAACTCTCAATATACAGAAAGAGCTATTTTACATATTAAAACCACTAAACTTATTCCTGATGAGTCAGAATTAACTTCACATTTATACAATTACAGGAAATAGTCAGTGCCGGGTTCTCCAGCAGAAAGGGCAGACCTGGACCTGCCAGACTTTCCCTGGGGCTGAGCCGGATGGTGAGTGTCACCGGGGAGAAACACACACACACAGAGTCAAGAGTCTGTCCAAGCAGGATCTCCTTTAATGGTATCAGGCAGGAACATATATAGGGTTGTGATGGGGATGGAGAAGCTTGGAATGGGTTGAGGTGGAATAAGGAATAAGGGCCAATAATATTCTGCCACGCTAGAGGTGGCTGGGCAGAGGCAGGTCTAGTTTGGGTAGCCAGAGACAGGTCTCCAAACTCAAGCTATGCTCAGGAAGTTTCACTGGGCCTCACCAAACTAAAGTTAGGCTCAGGAAGATACACTGGGTCTCACGAGGCCCAACAAGTCAGGAATAGGAATCAAGTTATGTATAAAACACACATCAAATCCCATACAAGTCTGCCAGGTCTTCTAGTACAACGTAATGATGAAATAGATCAGTTATTAATAGAAAACGTGCTAGAGGTCTCAAAATTTTATAAAAGACACGATGTTAATAGCAAAGGTTTGAAAAAGGATTTTTCCATCACTTGACAAAAAGCCAAGGAAATTGCAAAAAAAAAAAAAGTCCTATTTGCTCCTTGTATAATTAGACTTCATTGCCTGCAGGGAGTAACCATAAAGGTATGCAAAGAAATGAAATTTGGCAAATGAATGTGCTTCATTTTACAGAATTTGAAAAATTAAAATATGTATACCATATAATAGATATGTTTTCAAGATTTCAATGGACAACTGCTTTAAGTTCTAAAAAAGATCGAATCTGTAATCACATTGGAAGTCATGGCCATTATGGGAATATCTGTACAAATTAAGACTGACAATGCTCCAGAATATGTCTCTAGAAAAATTAAACATTTTTGTGCATATTATAATATAAAGAATATTACAGGTATACCACACAATCCTACAAGGCAAGAGGTTGTAGAAAGATCTAATTGTACTTTAAAAAATGCTTAATAACCAGAAAAGGGTAATAAGTACTCCCCAAAATAGATTATAAATGCCTTGTTAACCTTAAATTTTCTAAATGCTAATGAGAAAGAAATGACAGTTACAGAGAGACATTGGAAAATAGAAAAACACTACTGAGTTAAATAAGGCTGTGTACTTTTTAAACTTTTTTATTGAGCTATATATTTTTCTCTGCTCTCCTCCCTACCCCACCCCTTTACCCTCTACCATGATACCCACTCCCAATTTACTCAAGAGATCTTGTCTTTTTCTGTTTCCCATGTAGATTAGATCTATTTTGTCTCTATTATGGTTCTTTTTGTTGTCTAGGTTCTCTGGGATTGAGAATTTGTAGGCTAGTCTAAAAGCCATTTATGTTACATATAAATGGACATATTATATTGCCTTTTTGGCTCTGGGTTACTTCACTCAATATGATGTTTTCTAGATTGATCTATTTGCCCGCAGATTTCAAGACGTCATTGTTTTTTACTGCTGTGTTGTACTGCATTGTGTAATGTACCACATCTTCTTTATCCATTCTTTGGTTGAGGGAAATGTAGGTTGTTTCCAGGTTCTGGATATGACAAATAATGCTGCTATGAACATAGTTGAGCACTTGTCCTTGTGGTATGATTGGGCATCCTTTGGGTATATATGCAAAAGTGGTATTGCTGGGTCTGGAGGTAAGTTGTTTCTTAATTTTCTGAGAAATCGCCATACTGATTTCCAAAGCGGCTGTATATTCAACAAATGGTACTGTCATAACTAGATATCAACACATAGAAGAATGAAAATAGATCCATATTTATCACCATGCACAAAACTCAAGTCCAAATGGATCAAAGATTTCAACATAAATCTATTCACATTGAACCTCATAGAAGAGAAAGTGGGACATACACTTGAATGCATTGGCACAGGAGACCACTTCCTAAATATAACACCAGTAGCACAGACACTTAGAGAAACAATTAATAAATGAGATCTCCTGAAACTGAGAAGCTTCTGTAAAGCAAAAAACATGGTCAACAAGACAAAATGTCAGCCTACAGAATGGAAAAAGATCTTCATCAACCCCATATTGGACAGAGGGCTGATCTCCAAAATATCCAAAGAACTCAAGAAACTTGTCATTAAAAGAATAAATAATCCAATAAAAAAATGGGGTACAGACCTAAATAAAGAACTCTCAACAGAGGAATCTAAAATGGCTAAAAGACACTTAAGGAAATGCTCAACATCCTTAGCCATCAGAGAAATGCAAATCAAAACAACTCTGAGATTCCATTTTACACCTGTAAGAATGGCCAAGATTAAAAACACTGATGACAACTTATGCTGGAGAGGATGTGGGGTAAAAGGAACAGTCTTACATTGCAGGTGGGAGTGCAAACTGGTACAGCCTGTGTATTTTAAGGATGTGTTGTTTGACCTCAGAATAGAAACCAAGATATGTGTTACATTGGGGAAGAGATTTTGCTTTTGTTTCTACAGGAGAAGAAGTATGGATGCCATCAAAATTTGTAAAGATTTGATTTGAACAGGAGAGAGCTCTTAAGGAGAAGTGATACCTTATCAACAGATGTCAGAAGGAATATTCACCAGCTAAGGGTCAGGGCGGGGTTCTGTTTTTTTTCTATCTTTGCAGGAAAATAGAAATACCCATTTTTGAAAGTCAAAAGACCTCGAAAAACTGTCTGGAAGAATCATTGAAAAAAAAAAAAAAGGATCTGGTAGTACCAATATTCTCTACAGTGAATATGAGATTTTATCATCTCACTACCTATGAATTAATCTTTCTTTATTTCTCACAAAAGGTTAAAGTCCCAACCAACTCAATTTAAAACTAAAACTGGCTTTAAAGTTAGAGTGTGCTTTGGCTCTTTCCTTCTCGAAATCCAAACATGTTTTTAAAAAATTCAGAATCTCGGTCTCATATCAAAAGAGCCACCTCGTGTGGGACAGAAGAAAATCAAGGCTAGGTGGTAGTGGCGCATGCATTTAATCCCAGCACTCGGGAGGCAGAGGCAGGCCGATCTCCATGAGTTCGAGGCCAGCCTGGTTTACAAAAGCTAGTTCCAGAACAGGCTCCAAAAGCTACAGAGAAACCCTGTCTTGAAAAACAAAACAAAACAAAACAAAAAAAGAAGAAGAAGAAAATCAAAATCTAGGGATTGTTGTCACGAATCTCTTCCCTTCACACTTGTTTCGACTCTAAGAACCTTTCTTTAGATACTTAGATAATCTTAAAGGTTAAACTTTGTGTTTGATATTAATAATGTTTAAGTTTTCCATAGTAAACAATAAACTTATCTAGCAGTGGTCTCTGAAGTCTCCAAACAGAAGATGGGGCCCCACAACAAGGACTCTTCCTGATCCATAATAATGCCATTAAGCCAATAAACACCATTCAAAGGAATCTGTCTGCAGAGACTGTTTGGCTGATTATAATTTCAGTACTGTGGAGAGACTGCAATATTACTGAAATGGTTTAGATAAAACGCTGCAGGTCCCCAAGTGGCGGCAGGCAAGCAGGCCATGAGCCGGCCAGTGGGTCCTAGGCAGGGAACCACATGGTGGGTGAGAGAGAGATCTAAGAGACTTCGGTGGGGCAGCCAGTCCCACCAGGAGCTGCAGCCACAGTGGGTGAGAGACAGGCAGAGCCCAGGCAAGGAGACCTAGATGGATAGGCATGCCATGCAGAGTGAGGTTGGGAAGGGGAGGGGGAGGGAGAAAGAGGGATGAGGAAAGAAACAAAGAGGTGGGGGAGCCATGGCAGCAGCTATGTTTTTGGGAGAGAGATGGAAAGGAAGGGAGCTCAGGCTGGAAGCAGAAGGAAGATCTGCCTGCCTGGGCAGTGGATGGGGGAGGGAGTGGGGGGGGCTTGTCTCTTAAAGGGACAGGACAGACCATTGCAGTTACTAACTGAAAAGTTTCTGCTCTCCGATAAGCTTCTCTGTTGATGCAGTAATCAAAATCAGACCAAATCAAACTGATTTAGAAAAAGCCCAGGTTTAATGAATAAAACACTCCTGGATGATTTTCCAGTCCTCCCCCCTCCCTTGCAGCCCAGAGAGAAGATGGGAAGAGAGACTGGAAAATCATGTGTCTGTTTTCTGGGGTGCAGTTTAAATACCCTGTGGGAGTGGTCTTGATCATCTCTGGGGGTGGGATCATTATTTGGCGGACTTTCTGATATGTGGCAGGTTTAGAGAGAGATGGGCGCCAAGGTCTTGGGAAGACGCTTCCACCCAAACACTAATTACTTTATCTAAATTCTGGCTCCCCAAAATTCCTTGCCCACATCTGTATCAGAACATCTTGTGATGATAGATAAAAGCTGTGTTAGCATCTATTGACTTAGCAAGTGTCTAGCTTTACCATCCCAAACTTAATTTTATGGAGTTCCTGACCCCGGGAAAAAGGCTATAGACTCAATTCAATTATAATTAAAGGACTCATGGAGTACTGGTAACAGGACAACAATCTTTGAATCAAACTTGAGATGAGGGAAGGATTTTAAAAGGCAAAACCCACAAGAAGACCTTGAGTATCTGTTCAAGGAAACCAAGAGATACTATGCTCTATTAAAATTAGATAATCAGATGACCTCAAAATAGTCCTTGACTAGAGTCTGCATGAGCAGGTTACAGAAGCCAAAAAGTAATTAGTCATATCATAAGTAAACAGTCATGGCTGTACACTTTTGTGTGGGAGTCTCTGAGTCAGGCTTACTGGCAACCTATCTTCTAGGGATGAAGTCAAAGATAGACAGAGAGTGGGCACCAAAATGGATGCTTAGCCTAAATTGGAGTTTCTTTAACCATCACACTAAACATATTATCAAATAGCTTCCTAGGCCTATAGAATACCTCTCCCATCTCATTGTACTCAACAATTCATTTTAAACTTGCTTCCATGTGGAGAGCAAAGAGTCTTGTGCACACAGAAAAGCACTGGAGGAGCCAGGAAAGTTTAACACACAGCTTACCTCTTCAATGAATGAGATGCTAAGCTGCTCTTCCTGAACTAGGAATGATGTCATTTTACAACCTGAAGATCCTTTGCTGTCT